AAATTAAAGAGATCCATGTGACTACTGTTGCCACCACTTTTGAATAATATGGCTATTTACAAAAAGAAAAAAAATCTAGCAAGTGCAGATAGTTGCTGCAGCAACAAGCTGTAGAAAAGCTAATGGCTAGTTTGAGCAGGGCCAGTACCAATGAGAATTGATTTATTTAAAAAAAAGATGTTTAGTCTCAAAATGTTTATTGTCATTAATGAGAATGCTGTCTAAGAAGGCATAATATAATTTTTACAATTCAACATAAAGTTTTCCAATAAGTACAGCACCAGCACCTAACTGAGCACATCTGGTAAGAATTTTATAATATTTCTGTCAGAATAACTGTGTAAAGTTAAATTGGTGATGACAGATTTATTGAAAAAAAAGTAACTTGTACACTGCAGACCATTACAAGCTGTGCTCAGAATATCACATTAAAAATGAGCCAAAAGTAAAGTAATTTTAATTATATTTTGGACATGTTCCTTTCCCTATTCATGTCCTGTGTTATCAGCCTGCCACGCCCACTCACACCTTCACCCTGTTTCAATAAGTTCTACTGTTTCCCATCTTCTCAGCTCTAGCTTATTTTCACTCACCAGTTTGTAATTGTGCGTATTAAATGTCATGTCATCGCCTCCTCCATACTTCCTCCTCATCTTCTTGAGTTTTTTTTTTTGTGTTATTGCTTCCACAGAACAAAAACAAAACAAACAAAAATCGTTTATTTTATTTGAAAAAAATTACATGTTTGTACCTCAAACTCCTCATGTCACTCTGCAGTCCTTGATTCTGACCTTTGAAACAATGACAACAGTCCTTTTTTACTGTTTTTGTTATAGGACTACTTCCATTGCTGACGACCTGTCATCATTTTGAATGCAGATGTGCACATTTTTGCTGTTCCATTTGTTCGTTATACAGAGGTTTTATAAAACATGGTTTGAATAAGCTGCTAAATAACCATTTTAAGCAGCAATCCACCTTAAGCTTGACACTGCTTCAACTAGTCATTAGCTCATGATCCAGTCAGAATTAGGCTATTTACACATTATATTTTAATGATCTCCTCACAGCATTGATTTTACCCACATGTGTAGAAGCTATGACGTCACATTTAGAACTGTTTACAGAAGTAGCCTACGGATGCTGCATGTTAGCCAGTTAAAAAAATATATCTGACATGCTTGTTTAGTTCACCGTTTACATTTTAGCCATCCTCTGGCTGCTTTGGTGTAGTGTGTTTATTTTTTATTTTTTTTGGAACGCGCACAACATGCTAAAACTAACATATTGATGTCAACATATTGAAGTCTCTTGGAAGAGAGACGAAACGTTTCATTAAAGAAGAACCCGTCCAGAGGACCTATACAATTTTTTTTCCTTTAACATATTGATCCACTAACTTTAGTATTGAGAAGGTCTGAGACCGACATCACTATTGCATATTTCTGTGGATTCTCAGTCATCCAGGACATGGAAAATTAAAAAGAAGAAAAAGACAAAGCAGCTGGACTTCTGTTCTGTAGCTGAAGATGTGCGTAGCTACACGGTTTAAACTGCACAAGGTTGGTGTCAGTATTCTAACTACTTTGATCGATGCGCTCACTCCCACCTAACTGACGTAAAAGTCAAATGAAATGAGACAGGAGCATTCAGATGGCAGTCCCATTGATAAACATTAGATATGTTTCTGATTGAGTACCACACACTGAAAAGCCCTGTGTCAGATTAAAAAAAAAGATTTGTAATGTTCAGACTGTCAGTTAAAAATCCGATGAGTCATTTAGAGGGGAAAAAAAGGATGTGGGTTGTGTTTGCCTGCAGTGTGAACTACTTGAATACAATTTTTACCAAAATGAAGTTGTTCAAAAGTCTGTTTACAACATGTAGGACATTTATGCTTCATAACCTTTCCACAGAATTTAACTTTAAACTATTCAAATGATTGCTAATATGTAGTATTACCTTTCCATCATTTGGGTTTTACATCATTCGTGGTGCGTTTTCTGTGACAGTGGACCTACGGACACATAAGGCCCAGGAAACTGAACAATCAGCAGCGGGGAGCCTCCCCAGAGAGAACGGCAGCCTGGGTCAGGTTAATACCTCTGTGACCCTGAGCCATAAATATATTTACACATCATTACACATCAACAGACACACGTTGAAGCTCTCGCTCCTTCTCCTGTGCACATGCACACAAGAGAATCACTCTCGAACACGTTGTCACAGTTGCGTGCATCGGGCTCTAATTGAACATTTATTCTGTTCATTGACTAACAGTAATATGGTGAGAATGGCTGTAATGTGATCAAAGCTTAAATGAAACCGGGGGGCCTGAACACACACAGAAGGCAGCGTGAGCAGAACACACACACACACACACATACACACTCTGTGCTCTCACGGCCTATGCAAGAATCAATGCAATGGCCTTTTAT